AAAAATACTATTTATAATACTATTTATAATATTACATTTGGGAAATAAATAATATGAAAATTATTATTATAATGTATAATATTTCAAAATTATAATCTATTTTCTATTTTTTTTATTTTCAGAGATTGATAACAAATAGTGACAATTGAAAATATATTGCAATAAAAACTAATATAACATTACATATCTTAAAGTGATATTTATTATTAATACTATAATAATTTATTATTAATACTATAATAATAACAATTATTCAATTTACTGTTTTTGAATTAAATAATATCTGAAGTAATAGTATATATTTCGGCAACTCTGCAACACAATATAAAAACATATAGTTCTTTTTTTGCCAACATTAATTGTTCAAAGCAAGTATTTTGACTGCAACATTGTGTTTGTATATTTAATCATCCATTATTACTCGCAGTGTTGTGAAATAAGAGAGTACAGTTGAAAGATACTGTAACATATAATAATAAATATGTAGTTAAATTATTTATAAGACAGTTTTGTTAAAAGATATACAATATATCTTAAATATTTTTTATTCTCTGCTTTTATATTATTTGCCATTTTTATTTTTATTTTATAATTATTTGTATAACTATTTAATTATATGCGAATTAAAAAAAATAATGCATAATAAAGTAGTAACGCAAATAAAAATAATGATGAATACAAGAAGAGAAATGACAAAGTAAGGGAAGTAAAGAATAAGGAAATTTGACTGTAATATTTATATTTTTAAATATAATATCAAAAAGATACATATAATCTGTATACATATAATATACAGAATATATGATAATGCTATGTAACAAAAATAATTTTTTTCACACATGAAAAAATTGAATCTTGAAGATAGAGATGAAATCTAGTATCGAAGTTCGATTTTGCGAAATTAAGTTATTTATGTTTTTATGCACCACTAAAGTTTAGTGGAGTCATTTTGACTGCGATGTAAGATGAAAATTTGTTTGAAAATCCATGTAAAATTTGCTGAATCTGAAAATGAAGTTAAAGTGATTGGAGTAAAGTAAAATATTGAAAAAATGCATTTTTAGAAAAATTTTTCGGTCTTTTTTTGGCCTTTTGAATATTATTAATAAAAATGTAACAATTTTTTAAAAAAATTTGAAAAATTTGAGCTATTCTTTTTTTTACAAAAATGCATTTATCATTTTATTTTAATCGTTTTTTTAATTTTATCATTTTTGGATTTAGCGATCAATTTTTTTGCATTTAAATGCATATTTTTTAAACAATTACAAAATATTAGATTGTACGGCGCAGATTGTACTGCTGAAACGATTTCTAAACTTCAAATGTACATAAAAAAGCTTGATTTCGCGAAACGGAATGCATTTTCATGCTAGGTATCGATTCTATTTTCATGAATATATCAATTTTTTAATTGTGTATGTAAAAGTGACTCAGCGTAATTATAGCTCACGTCTGCCTAGTTGGCCCCCTACTTAACCAAATCTTAATGAAAAAATTATGAAATAATGCGCTATTCATATCCGCAAACAAAAAATTTTGCGCTCATTTCGTTTAACTAAAAAAAAATTTTTGTGAGGGCTGAGTAGGCAGTCAATCAGCCCCCACCCGTTAAAAACAATCGATTTGAAAAATCAAATACACAGGATTTATGCGCTATTTATGCGCTATTATTTCCAAGCATTTTCGATTTTTGCGCTGCAATCTTTAAGGCATTTCCCTCTTGAAGCAAACATTAATATTTGTAATTCATTACAAATTGTCTCGGAGTGAATAGCCATATTCATTTGGAATTTATAGCGCATAAATCAAAAATATATTTCGACTGGATAAGCATTTCACAATTAGTAGCGCATAAATCAGAGAATTTTGTATAATCAGAATATTTAATTTTATAATTTTAAATGACTTAGGGGTGAATATGACTGTTCGCTTTAAGAGGGAAGTGCCTTAAGGGCAAAAATTGAAAATACTTGGAAATAGTAGCGCATAAATAGCGCATAAATCCTGTATATTTGATTTTTCAAATCGATTGTTTTTAACGGATGAGGAGGCTGACTGACTTGCCTACTCAGAAACTCCACAAAAACTTTTTTTTTTAGCTAAACGGAATGAATGCACAATTTTTTGTTTGCGGATATGAATAGCGCATAAATAGCGCATTATTTCATAATTTTTTCATTAAGACTTAATTAAATGAGGGGACCAGCTAGGCAGACGTGTATTGCTCGTTGGTTAAAACGGATGAAATAGAATTTCGAAAAAAACGGATTGAATTTTTTTTTGTTAATTATTGCAATTCTCGAACCATCTTAAAAATTAATCTTACCGATGTAAAGTAATTAAGAGATAATGTAGGCATAAGGCAAGGTATTGAAATTGTTACTGGTTTTTGACTTCTCATTATAATAATTTGCAGACATTTCCATACTTTAATGAAATGATCGTTTTCGAGCATATTAAACGTTGCTTCTGCGACATCTTTGGTCTGGGTAATAAACATTTTTTTTAATGAAATAAATTATAATATAACAAGTTTAAGTAATAAATATTTTACCATGTACATTAAATGTTCTGCTGGCCAAGTATACGTAAATACTTCTAATATACCTATTATACCTATTCCGAAAAACTGGAACATCATCGCTGTAGATTGACGCTAAAAAAATTGATATACATATTATTTCCATATGAAGCTTCTACATTAAAATTTTTTTATGAAATATTTTCCTTTTTGCACAAATATGAAGAATATAACGATAAAAATATACTTAAATTTAAGAAAATATACAAGCATAATATTATTTGTTTAATATTAATGTACTTACTTTAATAACCAAAAGAAAGATTAATATTAAGCAAACCGTGCTGCAACATATAGTTGAAAACGCGAAAGGACGAGCAGCGATTGTAACTTCCCTTGCATATCTGACAAATGCATAATGTGTCAAAATTTTTTCAACTAGATTATTCTTTATCAATAGTTGTGATATTTACTTGAGTAATTTTTGATGTTTTTTAATGCATTTAAAAAGTTGATAGACATTTGTAATCTTCCTTAGCTCTTCAGTCAGAGCTTCAAATCTTGCCGATGTAAACCACAGTAATAGAGCCATCAAAATATTCATGCATAATTGTCCTGCTATCATTATTGCCATCATAGATTGATATATAAAAATTATTGTTTTTATCGGTTGATAAGATACATTAAATGGATAATCGATTACTACTGGAAATGGCTGATGCAATAAAGCAGGTATTGCGATTGTTATAGGAAAGTAGATAAAAAATAGACATATACTATGAAACATGATACATTTGTTAATATATCGTTGGATCACAACTTCTTCATGTGATTTCATCAAATCACAAAAATGTACCATTTCAAAAGTAACATTCTGCAAATAATTACTTGAAATAATAATAATTGTTATTTTAAATAATTGATATATAGTAATAATAAAACGTGAGTCTTCTTAATTTGCATGTAGATTTTTTGATTAAATATAGATTATAAATTTAAATACAGATTTAAATTAAATATAGATTTAGAAATTTAAATTAATAATTTGATATTAAATACAGTTAAATAATAAATATAGATAAATATTAATTATTTGCCTGTATGCGATGGTAATTTACTATCTCAAAGATAAAGTTAGCGATGGCGTGAGAAGTGCTGCTTAATACAAGGATTTGGTTTACTAAGGCGACAGGATCATCGAAATAATTTGTAATACAATATATCAATGGTACCACTAGGCCTAGCCCTAAAATTATGCTTAAATAATGATGCAGTTTTACACAGAATATTTTAAATTTTGTTGCATCTTGTGGCAGGGGCCAACACCAAACTGGAAACAAACTTAACTTCACGACGGAAATCACTTCTTTTAGCATCACTTTTCTTCGCATGACTGTAGTATGTTCCGTATTGTGTATTGCAAGTTGAGATTACGGGAAATAAAAATTCTTTCGCGAGCCGTTACGTAATGAATACGCTCCACGTATTTGCAAGTATATATTATAATGAAAGGGGAGTTATTGGACAATATGCATTCTTGCGTTTTTCCATTTTGTATGGGGTATACATAAATAAAATTATCATGACGCGTACAATGTATGTGAGAGATAGCCCTGCGTGTTTGAATAAGCGGTAACGTTCTCTGCCTATAAGAGCGTTAAAAAAATATGAATGCGTTATAAAATTTCTTTATATTTCCCAAAGATGTTACGTGTGTCTATGCATATTTTATATATTATAAAAAAAAGTAAAAAAGAAATTTAAAGGAAGATTTCTCTATGATATATCGGACATGTACGTTATGTATATTTACTCATGTATTATGTATATTCACATCGTAGCTATTGCAGAGAAACTATACATTATTTTAATTTGTCTATTATTCTATGTAACATAGTTTTTGTTTATTGTATGAAAACTGCAATAAGATAGTTTTAACTTATAGAGTTTCAACGCGCAGTAGCATTCTTTATACGCTATGTAATAATTTTATCGATGTATATCATTTGCTATAGAAAGTAAACGTATATATAAGAAGTAACATTTGTTTTACTGAAATGCTACACAACAGTGTTAGAAATATGGTCTTCGCGAAACCTTTATATATAATTTTAAGAAAAAGGAAGATTTAACATTAAAAAAAATTGTTCTACATTAAAGAAATAGACAATATGGGCTATAGGTAGATATAGTAAATCTATTATAGGAATAATGTTGTCTTTCTTAAATTTGACTTTGGATTTTCAAAATTAAAAGGTTAATTCATTTCGATGATCAATAGATCGATAATATAAATATTCTCGAATAACCGCAAAATTTTGAACAATACATCGGATACAAATTGAAATTATTACTAGACAAATACTAGTCATCATGACAACGTCTTATTGCTCAGATTTTCTACTCAATTCAATTTAATTGCCGTTTAAATGATTCTAATAAATGGCTTTAATATAATCTATGTTTGATTTTTACTTTAATGTTCTTAAACATGTATTAAAAGAAATTTCAAATTTTGTAAAATATGCATTATAGTCTACATCTTTGAAATTTTTAAAACTGTTTTGAATATTTATATAGAAAATCTTTTTCTTATATTTCAAAAGTTCAAATAGTTTTTAAATAAAAATTAAAATTTCTTAGGGTTAAAATTAAATAAAAATTAAATAAAATTGTAATTAGATAATACATTTTCAAAATTATTACAATAATATATATTTTAAAAACTCATTAAAATTAAAAAAACTCAATATATTCTTTCGTATTTCTATTTAGGCAAACATTTTGCACAAGATTGTTTCGTACCAAAAAATTTAGTTCTTCTTTGGAATTATTTCTGGCGAAAATAAAAATCGGAAGTTGAAGAGGAGAGTAAGCAAAAAATTGAAATAACGAAATATAAAGAAGCGTAAAGATTTTTTTTACGTTTCGTTGTTTCGATTTTTGTTTCTTAGGAACTCTACTTATGCCTCTGATACTGTTCCTTATACATTTGCTCCGATTTTTATTTTTGTCAGAGAGTTTTCTCAGGAGGAATTTTTATTATAATGTTTAATTTTTATAGAATTATATTTTCTATTTCTGTTATTTTTAGAGATTAGTAACATTTGAAAATATATGAGTGAATAGCGTATAAATTTTTTTTATAAATTTTGAAATATTTATCAATAATGCTATAATAACATTCTAATTCAATTTACAATTATTTTTGAATTTATATTAATAATCTAATTTTTGAGAGAGAGAGAGAGAGAGAGAGATTTATTCGGTTTTAAGTGTAAATAACTCTCATG